ATTTTCACATTGATATAATAATTACAAAAGCACACTCTGGAGATGGGTCCCACTAACAGCTCAGGTATAAAAAACATGACTTTTCCACAATTCTTTTTACAAAGTGAGATCCTCGACTAAGAACTTGTACATCCCCCATGTCATGTTTTTTTAGATCAGCTTTTAAAATCAGCCCAGAAAAAAAAAAAAAATCAAGATGTCTTTTCTTTCCAGTCAGTATGGAGGAAGAGGAGAATAGAGGAGTAAGAATAAAAAATTCCTTACATAGTTGTCCCTGGCAGACCAGGTCGGGTAGAGCTGCATGTGGAGTTGTCTCTCCTTCCTGGCCAACTCATAGTACTTGGCCTGTTCCTCCCGGGTCAGTGCATGCCACTAGAAACACACACACACACACAGAAGACCCCCCCAAAAAACTGTTAACATTTTGATCTAATTATCGCACATCACTGTACAATCATTGGTGGGCGTGACTCCCATTTTAGTCACACTGAAGGAGACATTAGAGAGAATACAAAGGAATATAAAAGGTTAAAACCCACAATTTTACCTAAATCTAACATTATGAACACTGCATAAAGTAAAATGATCAAAAGCCTTTACATTGAACGCTTTGATCACAATTACAATAACTTTATTTGTCTACCACTTTTCTTAACAGAGTAACATAGTGCTTTAACAAAGGACATGTGAGACAGTTAGTACAATTATACAGTAAAAGGTAAAACCAGATAAATGAGATAGTAAAATAAATAAATAAAATGACATGAATATGAATAAAATCAGTCAGATAAAAGCCAGTTTAAAAAAGGTGTGGCGTTAACATTTAAATGAAAATACAGAGGTAATGTTGCAGATTGTAAACAATAATTCCTTCCACAGTTTAGATGCCATGCAGCCTTTTCTACCCACCAAAGTGTAAAATACAGTATGATCTGCACTGTATGAATGATATATCATTCTTCACTGTCTTATCATTCTTCAGGTTCCCAGTACTACCAGTGGTGTTGTTATGATCTCAGTAGCACCAGTATGTGAGGTGAGCAGAGTTCACGTTACCACAGCCCTCTTATGTTCCTCATGTGTGAAATTACAGACTGATCTGGAAACAGGCTTAGTCTGTGTTTAGTTGTGTGTCTGTTTGCTTGATGAATGTGTGTGCGCATCCCTCACCCTTCGTCCCAAAATCTGGTTGATGGCTGCGCTCTCCTTTAATGTGCACTCGGCGATGACCTTCGCCCTCATCTCCTTCATGTAAAGCATGAAGGCGTTCAGGGGTTTCTTGATGACCGGCTTCTTGGGCTCCTTCTCCCGCTTGACCTCCTGAGGTTTCCTGAGGGGGGGAAGGAAGAGGAGGAGAGTGGCAGGAAGAGGAAGACAAGGAGAGGATAGGGGGGTAAAGATGGGTGAAGAAATTTGAGCGAAGATGGTGAGAGAATCAGAACCTGTTTTTTCTGTTTTTGATTTGTCAATTTGTGTAAACAAGGAATTGATGTGCTGTTCATATACAGTAGGTTACATTAAACATGAGACAAAACAGAGAATACAAATACAACAATACAAATTTAAAGCAAATATTTGACATGTTAGAAAATACACTTTCTTACAGAGATTAGCTGAAAGATTGATACCACTGTTATATATATATATATATATATATACACACATTAAATACAAATACACCAAACTTGCAGTACTTACCATACTACTGTCCTATGCACAGTAACAAGGTGACTTCATGGAAACAACAGCAGTTACGGGTGTGACAGAGGTCAGACACAGACTTCATGAAAATATTTACTCCATATATCATAATAGTCTGACACCACAAATTTGCAGCCTAGTGCACAAGATCATGGTGTTAGTGAAACCTGAAGATGATGAGCTGCTGCTGTATTCATTAGAGAAAACATATGAGTGAAATCCACCCCATAAGCTCTTTTTATGCTGTTGACCCAGGTCAGAATGCTGTTGCTGAGCCAGGATCATCCTGATAAATGTCCACAGGCATTCCTTATCTGCTTTTTACCAAGTATGATCATCTTTGCACTCCAGTGGAATTACTGCATCTTGTGGAACAATAATGGTTGTGTAGTTTGCAAATACAATACTGTGTGGTGGTGATAAAACTAGGCTGCACCAGATGGCTGCCATGGCATTTGGACCGGCAATTTTCGAGGCTTTCCTTTACACAAAAACAATACCAGGTCAGCTGGGGTTTTTCTCCTACTTTTGTTTCCACTAGTGAGTCTAATTTTCTCTGGTATGACATCTTTCCACTGAAGATGTTGAATCAGACAACTTGCTAACATGGTGTAAAAAGTCTATACAGAGCTTATGTGCAGGCAGTCTGTGGGGGTTTTACAGCAGTGATAATTCATGGTAGTGTATCAAAATCATATTGGCTCTATTGGAGGCTGGTTCGAAATTTTTCAAGGCATTTTCCACTCAGTCACTCATTGTTTACAACGCTACGGGCAGGAACCATGACATTATGTATGACCCAGTGTGCTAAATGGTGTGGTAGGCTGTGCTAGCCGACAGCATCACACCTCCAAATAGTCTCTGTCCTTCATCTGGTATATTGTACTGTATTTTGTTTGATAAAGCTATAACATGTACCATCTCTGGATTAAAATGTATATAAACTCTATAGCTATGTTCTATATGTAATAGCGTCATATCCCCTCAGCACTGTGGTTGTCTGCCAGAAGCTGTCATACACTGACTGTTTATCCACTTTGAAGCCACATTTTTACCATCCACTGTTTAGATCTTGGTGCTTTTTAACTCTAACTCTTTGAACCGGATGAAGGATTTTAGTAATCAGACGTCTGGATCTTAAGTTATCAGAGAAACAAGCTGAGCTAATGTTAGCAGCAGCTTGGCTCGCGCCCCGTCCGGACGTCCTTTTGTCTGCCAACCAGGCGATGGGTGGAAGAAGCAGTGATTTTGGTTTTTAAGGTGGAACTGCTTTATTCAGTGTGTTTAGTGGTTTTAATCAGCAGGTCTGTTTGTTTTGGAGAGGAGGAGACCTCTGTGGATAATTGGGCTCCCGGTAGAAACCTCCTGAACCATTAACACTGAAGAAATCCTAACCAGGAGAAGCTGACTGCAATGAAAGCAATGGTGGTGAAGACAACAAATCCCATGATCCCACCGCCTAGTGGCAGAAATTATATATTGTATGTTTAATGCAAGCTTATGTGGCTACAAGAGACAAGTACAAGATAATAGCATATGCTAAAACTGGTAATAAAATGTGTAATAACTGCACAGGTAGAGTCATAAAATCAGCAAACTGGCGCCGTAACAGTGTTAGCTAATTTAATTCAGTAAACGATTACTTATTACTGATTGAAAAAGAAATTGCATCACATTATTAATTACTCAAAAGCAAAAGTAACTAGTTACCTTGCCCATCATTAGCAGGGGAATGGGGAGCTCAGAACAGTGAACATTTCTTATAGTACAAATGGAAACTACTGTGAAACCTTCCATTTGCTTAGACAACACATAAAAAAGCCACAAATGACTGCAGCACACTCTCACTTCTGTCAGTGGCTTGCTGCTTCCCTAGAACACAGCCACAGACTGAAGATGGTTTGCTCTGACCGTAACACCACTACTTTATGATATGCTCTCTGATTGTGTTCAAGTGTCCAGAAGCAGGTATTGAATTCAGAACATGAACAGTCAGGAACGTTTGGAGGTTCTGTTTGGTACTATAGATCTGGAATAATGGAGGAGTTATTTTATCTTGACAAAACAATGTTAGGCACTTCAGTTGGGCATCAAACTCTCCCAGTTCAATCATCTAATATTGAATGTTTAGAGCAGGGGTGCTCCCAACTTTTCCCTTGGAGGGCCAATACTGAAGTTTAATGGAGGAATATTGTTAAGATGCAAAATAGTACAAGGATCCCAAGTTCCCTTAACAGACTTCCTATGTAAAGTGTTACTCTGTACACAATGCTCAGATTACGAAAATAATCATATTTTGAGAATTTTCACCTCACAGAAATGCCGCAGCCCCACTTTGGGCAGCCCTGATATAAGGCTGGTCTGAGTCCTTATACACTACATACAGCTAATTTTTTACAGAGAGGTCCAGTTTAAGACAATGGTCTAAATACAATGAAATGGATATTATGGGGACGAACATTATCACACATGAATACAATTCAGCTTGTTGAATCTACAAGAGCTGCAGAGTATGCATTCCAGTCATTCCCAATGTATGTAACTCCAATACTGTTTATGGACCCCAGTATGTAGAAATATTCAAGTACACACATTTATACCACATGGAAAAAAACGTCAAGTTTTTTGCCTAAAACTACATGGGAATAGCATAAAGTGGACACGTCTGTAAAGGGGACACTCATGGATACCCATACAACCCATTTTAATTCAAATATCTTAAAGTCAAAGGCATCCCTTTGAAAATAGAGAGATTTCATTTTATCACTGACTCCCAGGCTTGTTCACCCCCACCCTGAGTGTGTGTGTTCTGCTGTCTTTGCAGTGTCATCCTGCTGCTGGCGCTCCACCTCTGCCTCTTTACTATGATCGGCATGCTGCTGTTTGCTAAAACTGAGGTAAGTTCAGCTCTTTACTGTACTGCTGACATTTTACCATGTGTTGATGTGTGTGTGTGTGTGATATAGATGTACTAATTAATTGGTTGATCTATTAATCTGGTACTGATTATCTGGCATTAAGATAATCGGCACCGATGTCTGTGCTCAAGACGTCGATAAACAAACATTTTCTTCAGACACATCTGCAGGCAGCCTCGTCAGTGTGGCTGCTGTGGAACGATGTTAGCATTCCCATTTGTAAGTTTTGGGAAGGTGGTGAAAAAGTGAGTTTCCAGTCCTGTAATATGCATTCTACATGCATCCGGCTGTAAACCCAAAAGTCCTTGTCCTTTCTTAACAAATTAACAAAACTGTAAAAAAAAACAATACAAAACTAAACAGAAATATTCCAGCAGCTGGGGCGGATACTGTAAAATAACAGAACAAATACTTTTACTGTTAATTGTCAAACATTTTTAGAAATGTATTAACATTATTAAACTTGAATTTAACAATTTAATCTATTAAATAAACAATACAGTTTTGCAAAAAAGATAGATTTGCAAATGTATTTTAACTGGCTTTTTATGTGGAAAAAGGACATTTTACATAAGCTGTAATTTTGTCATTTTGTGATTTTTTTTGTTATTTACATTAGACATGTATTTTTGTAATTTTATTAATATTTCATGTATTTAAAAAATATAGAAAAAAATATGTTAAATAAATTTTTTTTTACAGTGTAACATTGTCGTTGTTTTTTGGGAAGGATAAACAACTGGATGACAATATCCGAATCATTCTCTTGCACCCCTCCCACCCTTACTTACATGACAATGCAGTAAGTAAGAAAATAATAATAAATAATACAAATAATAATAATATATAAATAAAAAGTTTAAAACTGTAATCATAAAAAACAATAAAAATAAGTTACAGTAACACAATATGTATGTATAAGTAGTAATACCCTTTATTTTGAAAAAAATCAAAATACCACTTAAAAAAAGATATAAATAGTCAATCTTTAGGGCAATTAATAAAGTAAGAGGCTAAAGAGGCATATTTTAAAACTAAAACCCCTGCCCAAATTTGTGAGAACCAAGGTGGTGATACACAGGCAAAAAAAAGTGGAAGCGTAACAGGAACTATGATGCTAGAAGAAAAGAAAGAAGAAGAAATGTAATATAAAAACAAAATAGGATAACAGAAAAACTGAATAGATAAGAAATGCACAGATGTATCTATATCAGTAGACCAACTCAAACTGTCTCATCCCAGACCAACATTTGTACTTTGTCATAATAGGCCAAAAAAGAGACCATAGTTTATGACATCTTTTTAAATTGTATTTCCAGTACAACCCACCCCCCCGCTCTCTAAATATCGGCATCGACCAAGCCCATATCAGTCGACCACCAGTGAGTGGCAGAGAAAAGGTTGGATAGGTAGGATGTGAAATATGTGTAAACAAGAACAAAGCTTTACCGACTATACGGTGGAGGCCCAGAAAAAGAAGTGAGAATATGAAGCCACTTGAACAAACTTAAGGCCCAAACAATTTCCCTCTGCCAGTTGGTTACTGAACCAGGAAGTGGAACACTCTATAACCGCCACAAGGGAAGGGGTTCCAGAAGTAAGAAAACATTTGTAATGATGCAAATTATAAGAAACCCTTCCCTGGGTATAGAGTGGAAAAAAAAATTTGCCACACCCCTCGCACCATAACACAGTCACATCTGAATACACA